TATTCACATATAACACATTTTTAATTTTTATGGAAGAGGTATTACCTATTGTACATATACCTTCAATGTGACCTTTTGAATCATCACCAAAAGTCACTTCTCCTCCATTTTTGGCGTTAAGCTCTATGAATAGGTTTTTGTCCCCGGTCATGTGTCTCGAGCATCCACTATCAAGGTACCATGAATTTAGATTTATTTCCCGTGCCTTGTAGCAATGCTCCTTTTCCTACAAACATAGATTAATTTTTTATTTTTGGTACCCAAATTCTTTTGGGTCCATATTCATTAGTTTTCAAAATCCTAGTCCCCTTACGTATCCATTTGTGTAGGATATCTTTATCTTTAGTAGTAATGAGTTCTTTAGGAACCCACATACTTCTAACGATTTTTCCATTAGTGGTTCTTCGGGGACCTCTATGATTGTAGTTTTTAACACTTTTTCTAACAAAGTTGGATTTTGAATTTTCTCCTTTTTCAAAACGTCTTGTTCCAACTTTATCAAAAGAAGCTTTAAGATCATCAATTTTCTTTTGATGATCATCATTGATCTTTGAAAGTAAATTTTACAAATCCAAATTTTTCTTTTCAAACTCTTCTAGTTTGATTTGCAGATCTTTGATTTTACTTTCAAGATCGTTGTTGGTTTTGGATATGAGTTTATTTTCATTTTTCAATTTTGAAATATCATTTTTATGTTTTAAAAATAATTTCTCATAATCAGAAGCCAACTCATTATATTCCTCTAATAGCTTATCATAAGATAAATCGTCAAAATCAGATGAGTTAGAGGTTACCTTAGAATGTTCCCCGAATGCCATCAAGCACAAGTTTGCTACTTCTTGTTCCTCTTCATCGAAACCTTCTTCATCGCTCCATGTAGCCACATGAGCCTTGTGCTTATTCTTTGATTGACCCTTTCTCTTCAATTGTGGGCAATCATATTTGACATGCCCCAGCTTTTTGCATTCATAGCAAATGATCGGGTCCTTCTCTTTTGGTTCATTTTTTAGGCCTTCATTTCGTTTGAATTTTCTTCCTTGGTAAGGTCTCATCATTTTTCTGAACCATTTGGCAAACAATGTCATTTTCTCATCATCGTCATCTTCATTCGAATCACTCTCATCTTTTGTGGATTTGAGAGCAACTCCAATGTTTTTCTTCTTCTCCTTCTCCTTTGGTGTCTCGTCAATCTTATCGAGGTCCACCTCATCTTCAAGAATCATTTCATGAGTGAGAAGGGAATCGATTAGTTCTTCAAGAGTTAAGGACGTTAGGTCCTTAGACTCGATGATTGTCGTCTTCTTTGATTGCCATGATTTTGGAAGGGAGTAAACTAACTTCCTCACAAGGTTTTCATTTGAAATGATCTCTCCATATGATTTGAGACCATTGACAATCGTTGAGAATCTATCCGTCATAGCTTTGATATCTTCATTTGGTTTCATCCTGAAATTTTCATAGCTATGCGTTAGAATACTAATTTTAGATTTCTTTAGCTCATCGGTACCTTCATGAGTGACTTGAAGTTTGTCCCATATTTCTTTGGCGGTTGTACAAGATGAAACTCTTTCGTATTCATCTGGTCCAAGAGCAAAAAATATGATATGGATGCCTTTGGAGTTGAGCTGGAACATTTTTGTCTCTCCTTCACTCCACAATCTTGGATGAGTGAGAGGCTTGATGTATCCTTCTTCTACGACATTCCATGTTCCCATGTCACTTGATTGAATGAAGTACATCATCCTATTTTTCCAATAGGCATAGTTAGCCCCATTGAAGAAAGGAGGCTTGTTGACGGGCATCGAATCAAGACCGGAGTCGAAGTTTGAAGTAGAGGACATTGATGACTTTGATTATCAATGTAACTCTTCCCGAATTGACTCAAGATGCTATTAAACCTTCAAATGAGTTAGGCATTGATGCCAATTGTTGAGTTAATCGATTGACGGAATCGGCCAAGAGGGGATGAATTGGCAATTAAAATTTTGTGGAAGCTCTTGCAGAAAAGTGAAAGTAATTGCACATCGATTTAGAGTGGTTCGACTTTATCAACCAAAGTCTACGTCCACTACCTTAGCTATCCACACTAAGGATTTTCCAACAAATTCACTAATTTGTTCTTTCTTTTGAGGCCAAAGAGATAACCTTACAACTCCCTCAAGAATATACCTCAATTCTTGAGAACACTCTTTTCTCAAAGAGAAGATTACAAATTTGCAAACTTACAAGAAAAACCTCACAAGGCAAATATGTTTGCACAATTCTAGAACAAAGAAAGAACACTCAAGAATAAATACAATTGAGCACAATAAGTGTTCTTGAAAGCAAAATGAATATTGAATGAAAAATAGGCTTGAAATGCTCAAACTTTAGGTTTGATGCTTTCTTTTTGATTCTCTTTTGATTCTAGTTGCTTGATGTTTCTTGTTTTTGATCAATGGCTTCTAAGCTTGCTTAAATACACCTTGAATCACTTCTGAATGTTGGGGATCATTAATGAAGTTATTGGAGCCGTTTAAGTGTGAAAACAATTAATATTTCTGCTTGGAGCGTGGGGGGAATCGGTACCCCTCATGGGGAATCGATTCCCTAAGTGTAAAATTCAAATATTTCGACCGTTGAACAGGGGGGAATCGGTATCCCTGGGGGGAATCGGTTCCCTCCGAGCATACTGGAATTCTCGGAGCCAAACCATTCAGGGGGAATTTGTACCCTCTTTGGGGGGAATCGGTTCCCTCTGAGCAATCTGGAATTTTTTGCTTTAAAATGGTTCGAAATATTTTGTAAAATCATTTTGAAATTATTTTAAGATTAAAACTTAATTTTACACTTGAGTAAGGATTTAAAATGAACTTTGAATTACTTTGAGTAATATTTTGATATTCGATTTAATATATCGAATATGCTTAGAAAAATCATTTTTAAAATTAAAATTCTTTTAATTTAATTTGTTATATCGAAACAACAAAATGTTTTCAATAACTTTGTAGAGAGTAGCTCTTCTGAGGACCTTGGTTTGTTTTAGAGGATTGTTTAATCCTCTAACGTTCCAAAAAGAGATGATCATTGGACTTGAGTTGAGGGATTTGGTTCCCCTCCTTTACTGCCAACAGTATGAAGTTTTGATTTCTCAAGATTATGTTTCTTCTTTGATTTGAGTTCTCTGATCAAGATGACAATACCAGAAGCAGCTTTTTTGGGCTGGTTACCAGGAAAAATAGGTATTGACTGAGTATCTTCAACCGAGTTAAGAATCTCAAACATGTTACTAGATGCTGTTAGGGCTCTGCTTGGAGAATTCTTAGGAGGACAACCTCTGCTTCCTTTAGAAATAGAAGAAGAAGATGTTTGAATACTGTTTGCAGAACTTAGTAAATCTGGAACAGAAGGATCATTTGAATCTTGAAGAACAGGGTCAACTTCTGGAATAGAGGGATAGGAAGACAGAGTTCCTTTGGAATGAATAACATCTAGAGACGGAGGGGAATTTTTAGAGGATTGGACATCAGATACTGGTTGGTCACTTGTTTTGAGTTCCTTAGAATTTATATCCTCTACGAAGTTAGAAGTGAGCTTAGAATCCACCTTGTCTTCAACGATTTTTGAGTTTTGAGTATTAGTGGAAGTAGAAGCTTCCTTCTTCCTCCAGACTTGGGTGGTCGTGTGAGAGGTTAAAGGAAGAATTTTGCAACTTTTAGCACTCTGACCAAAAGTGTTGCAAGATTTGCAGCATGGTGGGAGCCAAGGAACTTCCACAAAAACAGAAGCAGTTTGTCCATTATTAAGAATAAAATCAACTTGCTTAGGAATCTCGTCTGAGGCCCCAATTTTGATACAAACTTTTGCAAATTCCAGAAGAAATTTAGAAACTGTTATAGAATCCATTGAGAGTGGGAATCCTATAGCACTAGAGATGTAACTTAAGCCTTCATTAGAGAACAATTCAAGAGGAACATTGAATAAATGAACCCACAGAGGAATTCTAGACAAGTCAAAATGTAGTTTTTTCATGTTTGGTTCCCACTTTCTAAGGATTAGAGGCTTGTTAAAAATATGCCAAGGGCCATTTTCCAATACCCATTCACGAACAGATTCATAATCAAAATTAAACAGGTAAAGGTTAGGTCCGGCGTAACTGGCCTGAATTTTGGAACCTTGCAAGGGTTTTTTCCACAAGCTTTCAATGATCTTTTGAAGGGAAGAGAAGTTCGGAGTAGCCCTAAGCACTTTCCCAACAAGAGATATTTTCCACTCGGCAGTTCCTTCTTCAAAAATTTCTGGCGGAGGATGAACAGTTGGGGTACCATCTTTAACATTTGGGGGGAAATAGCGAAGCTCCTGTCCAGTAGAACAAGAGAAAAGTTTACGACAATCCATCGATTAAACCAGAATTAATCGATTCGTTTCTTCGGTTTCTATCGGGTTCTTCGCCATTAGTTTATTCGTTCACCGAAAGTAGAAAGAGAGAAAGAAAAACGAGAAACCTTAAACCCTTTGCCGCAGACAACAGAAACCTAATAAAACCAGTTGCTTTGAGATACGTACGGCCCAAGCCCGACCGTTTTGATGTGTGCCAAGTTAATTGGTAATAGTCAAATTGTTTAGATTTTAATAAATATGTACAACATATACATAATTATATTTACGTTTGTTTATTTATTTTTTATATTTATTTAAATGTTTAATATGAATTTGTGTTTATTTAAAAAATTATTTTTTTAATTTCTATTATAATTATTTTAAATGTTTTAAATAATTAAATTTTAAAAAATATATTTAAAAAATTCTTGATTGAATTTTTTTAAAATATTTTTTTATATTTTATCAATAATAAAATTAAATAATAAGAGTTAAAATAAAAATTGAAAAAAATCAATAAAAAAAATTAATGAGATAAAGAGACAAAATTAGAGAAGAAATTGGTTTGGGCCCAAGAATTTAGGGTCTTAGGGCACCACCTATATCATTTTCTTTTTCTTTTTCCTTTAGTTTCTCATGTACTGTCGCTCTCGCTCGCTCCTCATCAGCTTTCAGGAAGGCCTTTCCCTGTTTCACTCATCGGCTTCGGCCATAGCAGCAGCTCTGGCGCTTCACTTGCCTATCCTAAAGGTTAGTTTTTGCTTCACTTATAACGCTCAATATTTATAATATTATCATTCGCCAAAGCAAACCCGATGCATCTTCACTGCTTGGTTTAAAATAGTATTTCATTTGTCTTTCAAAATATATGATCTCGGATGGGCTTTTCTTTCACTCTTTTCTGTTGCATGCTCAATTGAACACGGGAAAGGTGTTCATCTGTAGTGTAATCGCTGTATATGGGTATATGTTCTTCACGATATGTGAAAATATTTCTTTTTTAGAGAAAAAAATAGATTACCCTTGTTTGTGAAGAAAACTCCAGGCAAAGGTTTTATTTGTCAAGGACTGTATGAAAATTAAGTTTGGATATGAGTTGTGGTTCGATCAGCCTACTGAATGTGCTCATTTTGTTTTTTGTTTAAAAAAAAATTCCTGAGGAAATCCCATGATTTTTTATGGATACTATCAGTTCATTTTTGCTTTATGCTTGACCTTGGTTTGGTACTATCTGTATTTATGATCATTAGGTTAAAGACTAAGTTGTATATGGATCCTTTTTTATTTATGAATTCTTCAAGATTGATGTACCATTTTTCTTGCTCTGTGTGCTTGGTTGGGGGTAATATGAGATTTTCATGGAAATGGAACTCACATCCCCGTTTGGTTAATCTTACATTACCAATAGTAGATTTTTTGGGTATATTACCGAGAATGTCATTATCTCTCTTTCCTTAGATATTATTGGATTACCGGCGTTTTGAACTAAAATGCCTTTAATTTTTTTTTCTTTAAAAAATATCCTTATTCTGTGATTAAATAACAAAAATTATACGAATGTTAAATTATAAATTTATCCTTAAATTATTTTAGATTTACAAAAAAAAAAATCTATAATTAAAATTTTATAAAGTTTAGGGGTTAAAATAAAATTTTATCTTTTTATTAAACTTTTTTATATTTTAAATTTTGTAAAAATATTATATAAATTTTATGAATTTAAATTTTTTTTAAAAAATATATAAATATTTTAAAGAAAATATATAAATATTTTATAACTTGTTAAAAAAACAAATATATAATAAGAACAATTTGGTCAAATATATATTCTAATAATCTTTTATTCCTTTAACCAAACACGGTAATCTTACATTCCTGTTAAACCAATCAAATACAAAATATAACATTCTCAGTAATCCTATTCTCTAGTAATCTTTTATTCCCACCGGTAATCTTACATTCTGTGAACCAAACGCACCTAAGGACATTAATTTTGTTTTTCTAATGTTGAGTTTGGGTGCAGAATGTTTCTCAAGGTGCAGATGCCATGGAATGTCATAATTCCTGCCGACAGCTTGGATGCGAAAGGCTTGATGCTCAAAAAGGCGATAGTGATCCGTCTTATGGATGAGTTTGCTACCAAGAAAGCCACCAAGGATCTCGGGTATTTTATGGCCGTAACAACCTTGGAGACCATCGGAGAGGGAAGAGTTAGACATAACACGGGGGATGTACTTTTCCCGGTTTTCTTCAGCGGAATCACATTCAAGATGTTCAGAGGAGAGATTCTACAAGGGGTCGTACACAAGGTACTAAAACATGGAGTGTTCCTGAAGTGTGGACCGGTCCAAAACATTTATCTGTCACACATAAAAATGCCCGACTACCGTTACGTGCCTGGGGAGAACGGAATGTTCATGAACGACAAACACTCGAAGATTGAGAAGGATGTCGTCATTAGATTTATCGTGATTGGGACCAAATGGATGGAGGCTGAGAGGGAATTTCAGGCGTTGGTGAGCTTGGAAGGTGACTACTTGGGACCGGTTTCCTGAATGTCTTAACTTTTCTCCAACTTGTGTATATATTCAAACTTGTGGTGATTTAACCTCAACTTTGGAATCATCCACCCGACTTGTTTGAACATGTGGTAGTTTGTAGGGTAACAATCATTGCCATTTTAGTGACAAATTGCAAGTATGGAACGTTGTTAATCTGCTCATTTTCCTTTGCATATGGGAACAGATTTTTATAATCAATGTGACATTCCTATATTTGTAATGGTACATTCAAGCTGCTTACCTTTTTGGGACAACACTCGCAACCAGAGGGGATCGATCATTTGGCGTAGTGGTAGTATGAAGCTGAATATAGAGTTTGAGTTCTAACATTCGAACTGCTCAGTTTCTTCGTTGGTCTTAAAGCCATATTTTCCGTGTAAAGGTTAAAATAGCTATACTAATAATACCAAGTGTTGAGGGCTTTTACTAGTTCTATACAAATAGAATTGAAGAAAGCACATTTCAATACACATAGTTCGATCTATCATTTAAGTCGAGTCAAGCAGAGAAAGAGAATTAAGCACACAGCATAGCCTTATGATTGAGTTTGGCTTAAATACTAATATTTTGATCATTTGTTGGTATTATCCGTTCTAAACAAGTCAAGAAAGATCGAGTTTGGACCGAGCTTAATATCTCACCCATTTATTAAAGTTCTAAACAAGTCATGATGATTGGTAAAGCAAACAACAATAAAAAAAATGGCGGTCGGACAGTAATTTTGGTGGTAGCTATGGAGATTCTGGTGGAATGAGTCTAGTTTGTGGTCAAGAAGAATGTGTCCATTTTTCCTAGTGTTGCACGACTCTTTATAATGCTATAGACAGGTGGAGTTTAGGAGTTGTCGTGGCATTAATGTTGATTGGACATCTTAAGAAGTGATGGTATAAATTTGTTAGTCACCTAACAAGATCATGTGTATCAACACGTGATCACTGATAATCGTCTGTAAAATATACTCGTGGAATTATAGATGATGGACACGTGTTTGTTGGTGGACGTTTGCGAGTTACACTATGCATGGTTAAAAGTTTACATCAGTAGTAGAGGGTTTTTTTTAATCAATAACCCTTTTTTACTATTTTTTTTATTATAAAAATGACCATAATCAACAAAAATGACTCCAAATGACCACATAGAAATATCTTGCATTCTGGAGAAAGTAGTGTCAAATCTCGCATTCTACAAAAGCCAGTTCCATGTATTTCTTGCATCCAAGTTCTTCCACATTGATTGATCTAGCGTTCTGCAGAACATGAGGTCAGACATCACGTTCTGCAGAAAGCGAGGTATTCCTATGTGAACCATCCGTGAGTCATTTTACTTATACCATCGATCTTTCAATTTTGTCAATCATACCACCTAAATATTTAATTGTTGTCAATCAAGCCACTAGTTGTTAATATTTGACGGAAATATTGACGTAGCAATAGAAAAATTGGCATAATTTTACATTTAGTCCTTATAACTTACATATCCTACCAATTTAATATTAATTTGAATTTAATTGAAAAAAATAATCCTCCAATCGAGATATGACACAAATCACCACCTGTTCAAGGTTAAAACAAAGTAGAAATAAATGGAGTTAGGATGATTCAAACCTAAGATCAAAGCAAGCACCGGGCGGGATTTTACCGCCAGGACAAACCCCACAATTGTTTTGAATTTTACATACTTCTATATATTGTAATTATTATTAATTTTATTTTTTAGGCTTACGAAAACATTCATCGAAGTGCAGTATAAAACAATGAATAATAAAGTTTACTCATCATTAATGATGATATTACTTATAGTAAAAATATAAAATAATCATTCATGATATCAAGTTAAATGCATACATTTATTTTATATAATTAATTATAAAATATTATTAAATATTAAAAGATTATATTCAAATTATTATATAATTAGGCAATATTTTTTTAAATATTTGATTCAAGTTAATCTATTAATAAATTAATTATTTTTTATTATAAAAAATATTTTTTAAATACTTTAAATTAAAATTATTAAAAAAATAAAATAAAATTAAAAGATGCTAAATTCCTAAATTTATACATTGAGAATGTAAAAACAATATTTTAAATATACTATAATCATTGAAAATAATAATTCAATAGCATTAAAATTATGATTATTTTTTATTTAAAATATTTTCTTTTAAATATTGAAAAATAAAGCGAACAATATTTGAAAAATAAAATTCATAATAATAATAATAAATATATACAAAATCATATAAGAATAATAACAATTGTGGGGTTTGCCCTAGTGGTTTGATTATTGCCTATTTTTCCCTTTAATTCTAGGTTCGATCTCCTCTGAGCGTGCCTATTCATAGAGATGAACATTTGTCGGATTTCAAACCGATCCGGATCGGTTTTTATCCGATCCGGTTTTTTCTCATAGAAAAAAAAACCGGTTTATAAAATAACCGGTTCGGTTTTTAACCGGTTTGGAGGGCCGGATATCCTAACCGGTGTAACCGGTTTCGGTTTTAAAAAAACCGGTTTTTTTAAAAAACCGGTTATAAAAAAACCGATTTTAATATTCCAGATTACTCATAGGGAACCGATTCCCCCCCAAGGGGGTACCGATTCCTCACTGAATGGTTTGGCTCCGAGATTTCCAGAATGCTCGGAGGGAACCGATTCCCCCATAGGGGGTACCGATTCCCCCCTATTCAACGGTCGAAATATTTGAATTTTACACTTAGGGAACCGATTCCCTATGAGGGTACCGATTCCCCCACGCTCCAAGCATTTTTATTAAATGTTTTCACACTTAAACGGCTATATTATCTTCATTAATTATCACTAAAGTTCAGAAGTGATTCAAAGTGTATTTAAGCAAGCTTAGAAGCCATTGATCAAAGACAAGAAACATCAAGCAACTAGAATCAAGAGAGAATCAAAGAGAAAGCATCAAACCTCAAGTTCGATAAATTTAAATACTTAATTGAAATACTTAATTAACTCAACATAATTGAAATACTTAAATACTTCCAAGTTTGATAAATTCAAATACTTAAAAAACTTCCAAGTTCGATAAATTCAAATACTTAAAAACTTCCAGTTCGATAATTGAAACAAAGTTATAAAATAAACTACATTGCCATCTCTTCTTCATCATCTTCGCCTTCTTCGTTTGGAGGGATATTCCAAGTTCGACTTCTTCAATGTGTAAGTTTGCTTCCAAATCGGCATCAATTGCATCTTCTAGGGTGGTGATATGTTGCTTACGAGCCGCTCCATCCAAATAATCCTTTAAACAAATGCATACTTCCACCGACTCGGGACTTAGTTTTGATCTCCGTTGCGATATAACCCTGCCACTAACAGAAAAAGCGGATTCCGAAGCTACCGTAGAAGCTTGGACGGTTAGTAAATCACGGGCCATGGCGGCTAGAATCGGAAATTGTGCTTCCTTTTCTTTCCACCAAGCCAAAATATCCAAACTTTCAAACTCTTCAAATGTCATTTTTGATAGAAAATCGCATGACATATAATTTCCCAACTCGCTATTTGGGGTGGTAGTACGTGATCGTTTGGATTGGGAATTTACAAGAGTGTTAAAAAGATTCAAATTTATGTTACTTGGACGTCTACTAGATGATTCCGCATTCATTCTCATTTGATCGTGTATTACACTACTTGATCCGTATTTATTTAAATAAATTGCAAACATGTCTCGAAACATTTGTTAAAATAATTTATTTGGTTTGGACAAAGTTGGGTTCATCATCGGTTAGATTAAAAGCAAACGCAATTTGTTCAATTAGTGTTTCAACCCCACCAACATTTAACGTTGGGTTTAAAGCGGCGGCACAAGTAAAAATGGGGGGAATCTCCTTAAAATATTTTAAAAGTTTTTCCTTCATTGCAAAGCCAATTTCTTGAAAAACTTCGGTTTCAAATTCAAAGTCATTTAGTCGGGTAGCCAACAAAAATATTTGATTAAGAACCAACGGGCTAGTAGGGTAATAAACACCGGATAAAAAAGTTGTTGCATTTTTAAAAACCTCAAGCAAATCGGTTATTTTGGCTATAGTTTCCCAACTCGAATCCGGATAAATGTTTGGGACATGACCCCTCTCGAAAAGCCTATCGTGAAATGTTTGCAATGTTTCCCTTTGCCTTAAGGCAGTATGCATCATCATCCAAGTTGAGTTCCAACGAGTTGGACAATCCAAATTAGGACCCAAAGCTTTTTTATTAACGGACTTACAAAATCGTTTATAATCATTTAGTCTTTTGTTGTTGTTATAAAGAACCGATTTTATCATTGTTTTGAATTCTAATCTAATCGGCTCAATAACCTCCAAATCGGCTTGCACGGATAAATTAATTATGTGTGCAACGCAACGGGTATGAAAAAACGCACGTCTAAAATCGTGAAAGTAATATTTTCAATCTTGGAACCGCGTTTGTATTATTCGATGCATTATCAAAGGATATAGAAAAAACTTTATTTTCTAATTTATAAAGACAAATTACCCTTTTTAAAAGTGTAAATAAATTAACACCGGTATGCGGCTCACCGAATAATTCAAACGCGATTGTCCTTTTCATCATTTGCCAATTATCTTGATCTAACCAATGTGACGTAACGGCTAAAAAAGAATTTCTGGTATTATGAGGGGAACTCCAAACGTCACATGTAAGCGACACACCATAACGGTGTTCTTGGAATCCTAAAATCATTTTTTCCCTCGCCGTACGCCACATTTTTATAGCATCTCTTCTAAGGGTAGTACGACTTACTTGAGTATAACGTGGTTGCATTAGTTGTTGAATTGTTGTCGTGAAATCTTCATCATCAAAGTGGTCGAACGGCAATGCTTTTGTAATCACGAACTTTGTAAACGCTTCTCGTAATTTTTCGTTGTCGTAAACAAAAACACCACCTTGCGGTGTAAGATTCGATTGACTAGGATCCGATCTTGAGCGAAGTGCCTTGCATGATTTTGTCAAATGGTTCTTCAACGTTGTGTTTCCTTCCGATGCAAGAAACTTTAGACAAAGTTTACAACGCGCCCTCCTCGAGCCATTTGACATCTCACATAAATCGTAGTGATCCCAAATGTCTTTGTTTCGAGTGTGTTCGATCACTCTCACGACTTCAAGGTTTTCCCCGACGGAAGATTCAGCCGTATTACTCATGATGAACAAAAAATTACAAAAGTAAGATTTGCGAGATGTTTAAGTGTTGTGTAATAAGATTTGAGGAATTTGTAATCAACCAAATACATCCCCAACCTATTTATACATGTTTAGGGTGGTAAAATGGTAATTTTTTAAAGAAAAAAACGGTCAAAAACGGTCACAAGACCCCCCCAACGGCTATATTAACGGCTAGTTTTTTAAACCCAGACCGGTTTTTTTTTCGGATAAAAACCGGTTTTTTAACCGGTTTTTTTCAAACCGGTTTTTTATCCGGTAAAAAAACCGGTTTAAAAAAATCCGATCCGGTTAAAAAAAAAACCGGTTTTTCCCAAAACCGGTTTCGGATATTTTTTTCGGATATTCGGATTTTTTGTGCACCCCTACCTATTCATACCTCCCTTTGTTTTCACCTTGAGCGCGACACATGTAACCATTTGGTTTTTCACTTTGAGCGTGACACATGTAACCACCTGGTTGACGATAAACTTTACATAATTAAAATATTTAAATTAATTGAAAAAAATCTTCAATCAATTAATAACACATGTCACCAGTAAAACGTGTCATAATATTATGTCGATACGTATCATCTCGTGATTAATTTTTTTGAATGAAATCAAAATAAGATTAAATTGGTTGAATATGTAAATCATGAGGACTAAATGTATAATTATGCTAATTGTGTTAGCTGTCACATCATCATCTTCATCAAATATTAACAGCTAGTGTACAACAATTAAATAATTAAGTAGTCTGATTAATAAAATTGAAAGATCGATGGTTACAGTAAAAGGACTAAATAATTGAATGATCAATGGTATAATTTACCCACTTAAAGTCAATAGTAGATTTGCATTTTTTTTAGGGTTCGCATGGGTCGCTGACTCACAAATAGTAACAAGAGGTTAAACTATATGAATTGCCACCAAATTTAAACATTCAGCCACCAAATGTCCATAATCAAAATTTCAATGGTAAATCATGAACAAACTTAAAAGCAAGCATTACACACTTATCGAGATAACAGTAAAAATGAAACCTTAAAGCCCACAAAAACAAGTAAAACACGTAGTACGACATGGTATTATGGATCAGGCTTTGGAGTTAAAAGCAGATCCCACCATGAAAATGAAACAACCACACCTCAAGAACCACCATTGTCATTCGAGATTTGAAATCACCTAGGTAGGCTGTTTGAAGGGAAATTCCGCAATGGATTCTCCCTAAGTAACTCAGTTTCCCTGCACAAAAGATTCTCATAAATCAGCTAAATTACCAATATTTGTCTTTAGCAGTAATCTTAAAAGCACTTGTTTACAGCATTTACTTTTTTATGTTTTTTCCATCCAACTCTCTCAGTTGCAGACTTGAAGTTCTATCCTTCTCATAGGCCGCTTTTGGCATTCTGATAACAAAAAAAATTGATAAAATAAGTAACTCAAACACCATAGAAAAAGTAAATGCATACCAACATTTTGAGTATATCTACAAAACGCATTTATACTTATTTCCCAAATTTTTTCAGTTTTCTCTGATATCTGTGTCTGAATAACAGTTGTATATATGCATGTTCAGAAGTTATTAACTTTTCAAAATAACTATTACTTACTCTGCACATTCCTCATCAACAAAAACTTCAATATGAGCACTTGAACCAGTCCCCATGGTTCTTGGAACAGGTCTTTGTGGAACCTGGTGAAGAATTTTTGAAGTTCAATGTCATTTGCAGAATAATCTGAAAAAAACAATACATTTTCCAATATCAAGAATCATGTTTCAGAGTTGAAGGAAACCTTGTATGATGTCCACTTTGCAGGCACTGCATTATTTTCTTTGTTTCTCTCAGCTCTACCTCCAAGAGTGTGCCAAGAGTTTGAATAAGTACTTGGCTTAGAGGGATGACCCCTCATCACATCCATATTGTTGTCATTGTAAATAGAAAGTGGAGTTCTCTGAATCCTATGACTGAAAAGCAATGGAAAATTAAGTTTACAATATGTTCTTATGGCTATTAAATATTGTAGAAAGGGAGCATCATTGTTAAAATGAGTGTTCCGTGGTTAGAATGAAATAAAGGATACTCATGCTTGACTCGTGTCACGTGTCCTATACATGGATATGAAGATTTTACTTTCAAGGATACTCATGCATAACCGTATCTGATGCATACACGAATCCAAGAAACATAAGATTAAAGCTCAAACTTAAAAAGTATAAAATGGTTTTTGTTTGCTTACTTCTCTTGCTTCAATTTATTCCTGCCAAGCTCAAAAGTCTTGTTGGCCTGCCTTTCTGAAATCACAGGAATTTACAAGTTTTGCTGTGGAAAAACCTATTATTAGACAAACTAAAACTGGAAAAGAAAGGCGATAACTTACGACTCTCTCCCCTGGCCAATAGGGCTCCAAAACTTCGGGTTGGTAAGTCGTCATCCTTCAACTCTTCCTGTAGTTCGGGAAAATAATGAAAAACAGAACCAAGTAAATCCATATATTGATATATATATGTCAAAGATCAAAAGAAGAGGCATTAAATATCAGTGCCTACGTCAGTTTCTTTAGGTCCTCTCATTGAGCGAGCAAGAAATTTCTTGTAAGCATCCTTCAGCTTCTCTATTGGTTGAGCATTGCTAAAGTTACAGAAACTTAATTAGATAAACAAATGTAAATTCACAAGTTTAAATATATCAGAAGTGGATGGATAAAAAGACCTACAAACAAAACCATGTAAAACTTTGAGAGGAAAACCATGTTTTACATAAATGAAATGCACTGCAGCATCAGTTGAATCAAGTTCTATCAATCTAGATATTGAAGACAGCTATTACCTGGATATCCCACGATTGAGTATATCATTTGCTGCTTTCATCTTAGACTTGGACTCCATGTGCAAAGCATATGCTATATAGAATGCTGAATGTGTCTTCCCAATGTCATTTGCATCAAGAAAACTATAAATGACCTCAGCATCACTACAATGCTCAGCCTGCAAATACAATTTCCAGCAACATCAAGTCATCAACTTCACAACAACTGATTCAACTTTTTAAACTCCGAAAAACATGTCCATTTCCATTTAGTTTGCTTTCCATGTGATCAGTTAACATACTAAGCAGCATATTATCAATAAACTTGACATGTGAACTTGCATAAAAAAATTAAACAACATTAAACTTCACCATCCAAATAAGATGATGAAAAAGAAGGTGAAAAGCACCCACATATTCTAACCAAATTTTGAGGTAGCGGAGGTCATCTTTATAACGATCTGAATGCCAGAAAGCTCGAACACATTGCTCGTAGATCAATACGAGACCCGAGAAGTCTCCACCTGGTGGGAATGCTTCTTGAACCCATTTAATGCAACTTAACCCACAAAAGAAAAGGTACAAAACAAACAATTAGCCATAGAAACAATCTGCCCATATCTAACTTCGAACAATAACATCTTAATTAAAAAAATTGAATCAACAGTAATTGCTCTTCATTTTTTACTTAGTTTCAAATTACAATCATTCAATATGTAAAACTCAAATCTATTTCCAGCCAAACAGAACATTCAAGATTCAAATAAAAGTTAAATTAATGGTAAGAATAGTTACTCAAGCCAAGGCTGGAGTGGATCTTCTCCTTCATACTCGTCAATTGCCTCAATCAATCTCCTAAAGATCCAAAGACAAAGTACCCACATAAGAAAATGGGATAAAACATAAATTATTAAAAAAAATAGGTTAAGAAAACACAAAAACAGAGAAGATGGTGGTAGATAAAGATTATGGAATATACCTTCGGTTATCAAGGAGAGATTTCTTGAGTTGATCATCGGTGTGAGCTTTGAGAGCATGGTTTAAGAGGTCGACATTGCGGCCTCTCTTCAAAGGCCTAACGTTTTCTTTGAAGAGTTCCCATTCGTTTCCGGTCTTTCGTTTCGATACAAGGAACTCAGTCTCTGGATCCATGGCTGATGCTCTGCTCTGTTTGAGAAATGGGAAAGAAGCCAAAAAAAAAAAAAGAGAGAGAATTCAAATTTTGAAATGTAACTACAGCTCCTCCTAAAGTTGCCGTTTTATGGAAATGGGTCTTGGAATAAAATAACATCACTCATTGGGGCTGCTTTGGGCTGGGCCTTTTCCCATTTTTGCCCTTTTTAAATGTTTGGATGAAAAATGAGTTTAATATGCCTAAGTTTTAACGTTCACATATCAAAGTTGGATTTGACCCAACTTTCTTTTTTATATACGTTATTTTTGTATTTTTATATTATATAATTTATATTTATAAAATGCTTAATTTATCTTTTTGATAAAAATAAAATTACTGAAAATCAAATTCATATTAATTAGGGCAAAATCAATGTGTTTACACATCATAAACTTAATCGGCAATAGTTAAAACTCTTTAAAACAACGTTCTATTAATTATTCATCGTATAAATGGATTTGAGTTAAATTTTAGAATTTTGGGTTTATAATTTAGTATTTTATTTTAATTTGAATAATTAAAAATTTTGTTCATTTCATTTAAAAAATTTATAATTTTAAATTATAATAATAAAAATATTTATTTAAACTTCTTAAAAATTAAGGTCAACTTTGATTTTAATATTTAAACTATCAGTTTTTTATTCGTTTTAGTATTTAAACTTTCAAAATCATATATAACGTTTAATTTTTGTTTCATTTTAGTATCCTTCCGTTAAAAACTTAATGTACAGGCTCGTCGGCCCATGAAGTCCAAACTTTTCAACCCATACCTTTTCGACCCCCTAAACGTGATTACTGCCTCAATGTCATTGGTAAACACCTCAATTTCCCCAAATTGGTGATGAACTCTTCAGTTACTTCATCCTTCGATTTTCATGATCCACTGTAAAATATTTTTTGAAACTGGACTTGTTGGTCGACAGTGGCGAAACTTGGTGATAAAGTTTGGGGGGACAACTTAAAACTTTAAAATATTTGGAATTTTAATTTAAAATTTTCAATTTTTTTGAAGGGTTTAATTTATATTTTCCAGAAATACAACAACAACAACAACAAAACCCAATTCCCATATGCAATGGGGTAAGGGGGAGGTAGGGTAGTAGGCTGCCCCCAACGCCAGGTTGAGAGTAGCTTCCGTGGAAGACCTCCGACAGTCAGAAAATTAAAAATATAGATAAAATGCAAAGCATGTATAAATAAATACATAAATACATAGTTGAACAATATTCATATGCAGTCATAAATATCATTAATATTATATGCGCGTTTGAAATGGGAAGTAATCCCTGCGAATAAATCCATGCGAAAAAATCTCTGCATATAGACAGAAACGTAAGACCCGACTAAATTTAAAAGTGAAGAGAATATTACACAGAAGTCCATGATAGCAAGCCCAGTTCTAAGCCTACATAAATACCAATAACATAAACATATAAAAAGTAGAATTCATGGAAATTACTACAAAGGCATTAAAAGAATACAGAGATGATACACCCTAGAGATGTGACCCACACTACTCGACTACCCTAGTCTTTAGTCTCCATACTTTCCTATCAGAGGTCATGTCCTCGGTAAGGGCTAAATCCATCAAATCAGATCTCAAGCAGTCTTCCCACTTCCTCCTTGGTCGTCCTCTCCTTCTGGTACCGTCAACTGTAATCGACTCTACCCTCCTGACCGCATCCGACGGTAGTCGCCTAAGGACATGCCCAAACCACCGTAGTCTTCCCTCCCTCAATTTTTCAGAAACAGGCACCACCCCCAAGGACATCCTAATAGTAGAGTTTGTTGTCATATCCCACAGAGTCCTACCGCACGTCCATCGAAGCATTCTCATTTCTGCAGCCTCTATCCTCCTTACATGATCCTTCTTGGTTGCCCAACATTCTGATCCATACAACAACGCTGGTCTTATTGCCATTCTATAAAATTTTCCCTTAAGTTTTAGAGGCACCTTCTTGTCACACAAAACTCCAGTAGCAGCCCTCCACTTTAGCCATCTCGCCTTTATACGGTGTGTTACATCATCATCTACACCCCCATCTTTATGTATCATAAACCCTAGGTACTTGAAACAATCCTTTGAGGGGAGAACGTGTCCTTCTATGCATACTTCTACATCTTCATCGTTTTGGTCCCCACTGAAGTTTGAATATAAATACTCTGTCTTATCAATATTGATCCTTAGACTTTTTTCTTCCAAAGAAGTCTTCCAGGTAGTCAGTCTATTATTCAACTCAGATTTTATTTCAGCAACTAGGACAATGTCGTCAGCGAAAAACATACACCATGGTACACCGTCTGGTGTCACACAATAGATGTCGTCCATAATCAAGGCGAAGATGTAAGGACTAAGAGCCGACCCCTGGTGTAGTCCGATTTCCACCGGGAATGCCTCAGTGTCACCAACTGTAGTCCTGACGTGTGTAGTAGATCTACAATACATATCATGAATCGCCCGGATATAAGCAGTTGGGATCCGTCTCGTTTCCAAAGTCTTCTAAATCGTATCTCGGGGAACGCTATCATAAGCCTTCTCAAGGTCAATGAACGCCATGTGAAGATCTCTAGACTTTTCCCTATATTTCTCCATGAGTCGTCGAAGTAGATGAATCACCTCCGTGGTAGACCTGCCTGGCATAAACCCAAATTGGTTTTTCGAAACCCTAGTAACTTGTCTCAACCTAGCCTCTATCACCCTTTCCCATAGCTTCATGGTATGACTGAGTAGTTTAATACCTCTGTAGTTACCACAACGTTGGGGATCTCCTTTATTCTTATAGATTGGTATCACCGTGGACTCTCTCCACTCCTCTGGCATCTTGGCAGTCTCTAAAATAATATTAAAGATGTTGGTCAACCACTTAACTCCCTCTTCTCCTAGGGCCAACCACACAGTGATAGGAATTTGATCAGGACCGACAGCTTTGTCCCTTCCCATCTTTCTAAGAGCCATTTTGACTTCCTCAAACCCAATCTTACTTGTAGGGCAATCATTGGCCGTGGTATGATGGTCGGTTGACCCATCAACGGTACTATCTCTACAGGGAGAGGCACCCTCATTAAATAAGCCAAAGAAGTAACTACCCCAAACCCTCTTAATATCATGATCTTTCGCTAGCAGAACACCATTGTTGTCCTTAATAAACCTAATGCTACCTAGATCATTTTTCTTATTCTCCCTAGATTTTGCAAGCCTGAAGATGCCGTTTTGTCCTTCCTTGGTGTCTAATCTCTTGTACATTTCCTCGTATGCCTTATCATTTGCTTTAGCCACCGATTTCTTGGCTTCCCGCTTTCCCTCCTTGTATCTTTGTTTAGCTCTCGACCTTTCTTCGTCGTCATTGCATTGTAGAAACTCCTTGAAGCAAGTTTGCTTTGTCTTCACCTTAGTTTGGACTTCGTCGTTCCGCCACCATGATTCTTTATGTTCCTTGGCCTTCCCCGTCGACAACCCAAGGGTGTTTTTGCCCATCTCTCTAATGGAATTTGCCATATTTTTCCATAACAAATCTGCATTATTTGAGATTGTAGTTCCAAAACCTGTATTAGACAAAACCTTACTCTTAAAGACATCAGTTGTCGCTCCATGTAACTTCTTCCAAATGATCCTAGGTTTACCCAGTTTAGCTCTCCTATGAGTGCTCCGCCCGTGCTGTACGCGGAACACCAAAACCAACAATTTGTGTTGTGATGCACATGCCTCTTCAGGGTACACCTTATAGTCAATGCAAGCCCATCGATCCCGATTTCGAGCCAAGATGTAGTCGATTTGGGTACACTGCCCCCCGCTATGAAACGTAATCAAGTTCGCATCTCTCTTATTAAATAAGGAGTTAGTGACCACTAAATCGTGTGCAGTAGCAAATTCAAGCAACGTACGTCCCTCATCGTTCCTACTACCATAACCGAAACTCCCATGAACACCGTCAAACCCGTCGGTTACACTACCTATATGGCCATTGAAGTCTCCCCCTATGAAAACTCTTTGGTCCTCCAGAATGTTCCTAAGTACATCATCTAATTGATCCCAGAAGCAACGTTTCTTCCCCTCCCCTAGGCCAACGTGTGGGGCGTACACTAAAATGACATTCACCACTTCCTCTTCTATAATAACCTTAATCATCATGATCATATCCCGGTATCTACAAACCTCAACTACATTTTCCTTGAGCCTAGAGGATACCAAGATACCCACCCCATTTCTAGCTTTATCTACGCCTGAATACCACAACTTGTACCCATTACACTCTCTAGCGCGAGCCCCTTTCCACCTAGTCTCCTGAATACATACAAAATCTAATTTCCTATTATTAAGTACGTCGGTCAGCTCCAGTAGCCTAGCATTTAATGTGCCTACATTCAACGAGCAAACTCTAAGTCTAGTCTCCTTGTCACCACTATGTTGAGCCCTCCCCCTATACGTCCCATGAGCTCTAAAAGAAGGACATGACCTCAAGTAATCATCTATAGTCGAAGCTATGAGAAACTATGGAAAATGAATCCAAAGAAGACAGAAGATGCACCAGAAAACGCTAGAGAATTGAAGGGTACTAAAAAGCCTAGTTGGAAGCTATATCAGCCGTTTGATCTATAACTTTATTCCTACAGATATAGTACGTCCTAGCAATAAAACATAACGAAATTTCAAAATATTATGATTTTTTAAAATTATAGGAGGAGATTTAATCAAGAACATTAAAAAAATTAAAGTTTAATCTGAATTTTTTAAAATTTTGGCAGACCAAATTAATTTTTCTTAAAACATTAAAGGGTCTAAATTTTAGTTTTTTTAAAATTTTAGGGCGCCATGCCCCCATTAGCCCTGCTTATGTTTCAGTCTATGTTGGTTGACTCGTCATTCTCTCATGATCTATAGTTCAGATTGGCTATCCGTCCACCAGAGTTATGTCACGTCAGTGTATTCATCAAGTTTTTAACGTTAGAGTACTAAAATGAAACAAAAAATAAATATTACATATATTTTTGAAAAAAATGAAAGTTTAAATATTAAAAAGATAAAATTAATAGTTTAAATATGAAACACGTAATTTGCCCTAAAACAATATAATTTAACCCTGAATAGTCGAGTCCCTCACCTGCCCCTGAGCTTATCCGAATTCATCTAAGGGTCCGTTTATTTCACTGAAAACGTTTTCCGGAAAATGTTTTCCGTAAAATAAATTACATTTTTTGAAAAACATTTTCTGGAAAACGTTTTACGATGTTTGGAAGATGTTGCTTAAACTCTTTTTCTACTAGTTGATGAATTTTTTAAAAATTATTTATTACAAATATTAAAATACAATAAATAATATTAATTATCATAAAACTTAATATTATTATTTTTAAAATATTAAAATAATTTATTTATTATTTTTATAATTTTATTAATAAAAATATTAATATTGGTATATTTTTTTGAAATAAAAATATTATAAATTATATTAATTATTTATTAAAGTAATAGTGATATATTATATTTTAAAAATATTAATTAGTATATTTTAAATATCTTTATTAAAATATTATTAGATTATTATATTAATATTAAACATATAAATGATATTATTCATTATTAATAATTTAATAATATTATTTCTATGAAATTAATAAATAATATAAATTTTATTAATAATTTATTATATAATATTAAAATAAAAATATATTATCTTATATTATTATAATATAATTGGTTATTTTATTATAATATTAAAAATATAATATTATATTATTAGAAATATTAATAAATATATTTTAAATATTTTAATAATAATATTTTGATTAAAATGAAATTAATTTTTTTTATTAATATTAAATTCATAAAATAAAATTATTTTGATTATTTATTCTTTGAAGTGAAAAGTTCGAAAAATGACTCACGAAAAATCAGATTATAAGTAATTTTCTAAAAAATACAAAAAAAAATTTGTTAACTAGAAAAATATTTTACATTGATCAACCAATTTTCCTATTATCAAATATTAAAAAATGAGAAAATATTTTCCTAAAAATATTTAACGTAAGACAAACGACTCTAAAAACTTGTTTGTTGTAATTGAAGAACTCTCTTCTCATATATCCTCCTTAGCGATGACAAAGACTCCTCTTCCTTGATCAAACCAACCCAAAAAAACTCCATTATTGCCCTCTACCCAGCATAAAAAAAAGAAAAGAAAAAAAAAACCTTGTTTAGCAGGCATCGGCCATGGCAGCTCTAAGGTTTAACTCGCTGCCAGGAATCCTAGAAATGAACCTAACATCATCTTTTAGCCCAAACCCAAAGCTGTCTTTTGCTTCATTTCACTGTGATAACAAGAAAAGGGTATCCAGAATGGTAGTAAAAGCAGCCAAATATAAAGGGACTCAAATGAGGGAAAAGAAGCTGACTGAGTTGATTGAGGAAAAGGTTTTAGAAGCCAAGCAAGTGTGTGAAGGAGATGAGACATCTGACGAGTGCAAGGTGGCTTGGGACGAGGTCGAAGAGGTAAGTCAAGCCAAGGCTGATCTCAGGCGTAGACTTCAAATTGAAAAGAAAGATCCTCTGGAATCCTTCTGCCAGGAAAACCCTGACACTGAAGAGTGTAGGATCTATGAAGATTGATGAACCAAAAACAAAAGTAATCATTTAGTTGAAAAAAATAGTGAGGGATTGTTAATTAGTGGTTTGAATTATTAATCCAAAGTGTATGGTATGGATCTTCATTGTTATTCTGTTCTCAATCAAGCTGAATTATGTTGTGAAATTAGAGCATGTTTGTTAGAGATTAGCTTTGCTCAAATATCTGAGTTTTAGATACGTATCTGTCGTCTATCCTTGAAAAGCTTTGATTTTTTTAAATATATTTTGGATCGAATGTGACCAAAAAAAAAAAAGCAAAGCAACTGCGATCAAAATCAGATTAAATTTTGGACTAGCCTGTGTTGGTTTGGTCCCCCTGAATCTGAAAGAGCAGAAAATGAGTTGGGAGATAGATATCCCATTCACTTGTACCTTTAAACCACAAATTTTAACTATTTTGATGGGGTTTTTCAGTTCTGGGATCCTTGTTGATTTTGATGTAAGCTCGGTCAATGTTCCTTTTCCAGACCATAAGCAATCAGGTCACGCCTCAAGGAAGAGTTGCAGGTGACAACAACACCTGTATACGTCCTCGGCAAAGTGTTGAGCAACAATTCGATGACCAGAGCTTGCCAGTCCCAGCATGATGGATTGATAAACCATAGTGAACCCTTGAGTGCATTGCATTTTTAACCATACCTGTGTGACTCGGAAGAATCTCATCACTAGCAGCATCCTCTTTCAAGAATCTATTAAGGGTATCATTAGCAAGTCCTGCGTGCCGGACTGCACTCGAGTTGTTTTAGCAGTTCTTTAATCCTTGGATGAACAGAAATGACGGGATGCTTCCCTTGAACAGCCGTTACATTTTCAAAACAAATATCAGTCCTAATTTAGAACCTTATCTGCAGTGACTTCTTCACTATGATTCTAACGTACCCTTTCTCTGTTTTAAACTAAGATGGTTTATCATCCGTCTCTTCATCATCGTCCACTTTTGGTGACTTACCGGAGAGGTGTGTGGCATCAATTATCGAGCATTTGAATCGTCCTGAGATACGTAAACTTGCAAAGTTGAATGGAGCATTTAGGGGTGCTTCTTGGGCTGGTTTTGTTTGGGAATCGAAATTACCACCAAATTATCAAATTCTTCTTCATAAAATTATGGGTTTTGTGCCTCAAAAGTTGGGCAAACGAGATATTTACACAAGGCTTTGTCGAGCTAATACTTTTGATGGCGGCACTAAGCTATGCTTTTAGTTTTTCCTTCATCCTTCTTTGGGTATTGATAAAAACTGGGGTTTGTTTCTTGTTATTTATCTTGTATATCTTTTGGTGGTTAGCTCAACATTCATATGCCTGCTCCATTAATGGCTGGAAGATTTGGTTCCTTTTGCAGGCAGTGTAGCTGGATAAGAACACAGCCGGTGTTTGTGTTAAGTTGCATCTTCAACATAGGTAAATATTGAAATTCGAATCTATATAAGATAGGATAACATGAACATCTTTAATCACTTGATCAATTAATGTAACACGTAAAATAATTGATTTAGTTTTTCCTTTGGACGGGGCAAACAAAAGTTCTTAAATAAAAGGCTTGTACAATCAAAATACCCCTTCTCTTACCACTTATTCCCACACAATTATGTAGTGTATTTTTTTGCCCAGTCAACCGCATTTATTATATCTCCATTGAACAAGTTGTCCTTGGGCACTAGGGCTGGCAATTATCCATGCGTGAGTGAATTATCCACCCACCTTCCCTGAATAAATAGATGAAAATTCGTTGTGAAACAGATGATTGGAAGGTGATGGATGGATCGAGTGATGGGTCAGGTCGGATATGAATGAAATTTTTTGACCCATCACCCTCAGCGTCCATTCATCCACATACATATATATATATATATATATATATTATATATATTAAAAAAAATAAACGGATGATTGTAAATATTCTTATTCTCTTAATTCTGACTTTTATCCCATTGAAAATATGTCTAATTTTTTAATATTGGTTTATCTCTATTGATACTAGGATGGAGAGGACTTTTGAGAAGTGATAGTTTGTTGATGAAGATTATATTTGGTGTACAAGACTATACATGATGCATCTATTCACTTGAAAAATGTATCACAAACATAGTGCACAAAATTATATAAATTGAGTTCCATTTTGTTTTTGTTTGAATTTGATGAAAATTTATTGTTCATGTTTTGGTTTCTATAAATGTTTGAGTATCAATGTTTGGTTTCTATGAATGTTAGAAGAATTTGAGCTTGGGATGTAAAAGTAAGTTTTGTTCATAGTATCATCCATTTCTCATCCGCTCCACCCGCTCCACCAGCGGATGATGGATGGAGAGGATATGGATGAAAATTTTGGTGGGTGATGGATGGTGTGGATGGAGATTTGGACCGCAGATGAAGCTCCACCCGACTCATCTCCGATCCATTGCCAGCCGTATTGGGCACCTCACCATACCAACATTATCAACCGAATGATGATAAAATTTCAAAAGGTTTGATTAATTTTTCATGTATTTAAAATTACAAAAAAAAGGTTCAAAACCTTTTTGAATTAACTTATTTCAAAATAACTGAAAAAGTTGGAAAAAGGGAGGGGGGCAGTTAAGAACTTAACATGAGGGTTACCATTTACCACTTGAACAAATGTAAATTTATTTTTCAAATTTAAAAAGTTAAAAGCATGCAGCGGGTTGAATTGAAGCTTGATAAATAAAAACAAAAATCGTTGTTGATTGCAATAAATAAATGTGAATATAACCTTAAAGATATTCATTTTCTATATTTTTATAAATATTTTATTATATTTATCTATTGGGTTAATATCGTAAAAATTGGGGCTGTTTTACTATTATGTGTAAGAGTTGAAAAAGCCTGGGTTTAGAAATATATATATATATATATATATATATATATATATATATATATAAGGGGCCCACGGGGGGTTGTGAAAACAACCCGCCCCACCTTGTCATTCGTTAATAATGTTAGAGATTTTGAGAGGCACTTCCGGATATGAAAATGATGGATCTCTCTATTTCAAAAACCAATTTGACTAAAGAAAAAATACCGCAACACTTCTTCACACCAAAGAAAAAATAGAAGAAAACAGGGGCTTACTCTGCTGTCCAATTAAACCTACTCAGGAGGGATATCAGGGAAAGTGTTTAATATAATATTCTCATTTCAATGGTTGATTTACCTTTGACTTGTTCAACTAATTATGTCCACTAACCTCACCTGCTCTGCTCTGGGTTGCAAATGTTAGGACTCAAACCCTAAAAATCCTGGGATGTAATCTCTCAAGGGTTGCTACATGCAGACCAAAATCGCTATTCGGAAAGGATTTTCCTAGAAAAAGCTGGCTGGGATTAGCTTGAAATACACAAAACACAATGCACCCTACAGCTTCCTCATCAGCCAAATTCCTCTTCTGTTCATGATTTCGTTTTGTCGTAATACAAACAAACTTACTATTTCATTACAATATAATGGTATTCTGAGTACGATATAATATTCTAGCTTCTTCTAATGTACACTTCAATGGAGAGAATTCTAAGTAAACAAACTTTGACACCGAAACTCCAGACTTTCTACATATATTGAGAACTTTAATCATTCTCAACGACTGAAAATCTGTCTAAAGCCGAAAACATTGTATAAATAACAAGTTCTAACCTAGCAAAGTCAAGTCAGATTTATAGTGAACATCCATAAGCTACAATATTTCATCAAAATACTCTCTCTATAATGAGAAATAAATACGGGACGAGAATTTCGTACATGCCACTATTGAAAAATAATGCAGCAAGGACCACTAATTATGAGCCTACCGAATTTCCGAGGAAACTTTTTTCACAGGTTCACTTATTTGTAGAATGCATGATAGAGATGTTCCTATCTATTATGCACATCAAGTGAAGAGTAACATGCTTTAAAGTATCCTTAAGGTCTGATTTACAATCTTAAATGTGTAAACAACCAGCACAAGTATGGCCATTCGCATAATATAATCTCGAACAGGATTTTAAATAGCTTTTACGGTCACGTTTTTTGTCGTGTCGCGTTTATCACGGTTGCGGACATAACGAATGTCATTGCGGATATCGCGGTCGTGAACTTTTTTAAATGTCGCACAACTTACCTTAAAATAACTAAATTAAATATGATTAAAGTAAAATTGTAAAATTTTTAAATTGCAAAAATTTATATTACTGAAATTAAGACTAAATTAAATAAAAATTAAAGTTTACATTTTAAACTTGAGATTAAATTATAAATTCTAAAAATAAGAGGAATGTAAAATTAATATATCCTTTAAAATTATATTTTAAAAACTATTTAAAAAAAATAAAATAAAACAACCCCTCCCCACCTTTCTGCCTCCCCCTTCCCCGACCTTTATGGCATTCTGCCCCACCTTCCTCCTCCCCAAATTTCATTATCTGAAACAAAAAAAAAATTATACTTTCACTCTAACTCCCCCCTCCCCCTTCCCCTTTCTCCTCCCCGACCTTTCATTTTTTGGAAAAAAAAATTACGATTGGAAATTGGAATCATAGTTGAAATAACGGTTGATTGCGTCCCGTTATCGGCGCAATCGACCGTTTCTCGTTAAATTACAGGTGTAAAATTCCGAGATTAGTGTAAATCTGTGACCCACCGCAAAAATCATTAAAATCAGTTTCTAACGGTGACGTTACCGTAATATCACGGCTGCTATCACGTTTTTGGACCTCAATTTGATACCCTGATCTCGACCAGAGGTAAAAGAAAAATAGACTCAACATATCAATCATAAACTCGTATTTCCCTTATTCGTTCTTTTAGCTAACAAATTTACACAATGAGGGATATATTATGCCAAAGGACACCATATCACTAGTCACTACTTTGTATAATAAATGAATAAACCCTCAACCCTGAACAACTTAATATCTCATCGACTCTCCTAAAATTGTTTATTTCGGATTAGTAACTTTTATGAGATGACAAACATATATAATTTGCTGTTTAGAATAAGAAAATACACACTATCAATGCATATCAGACGTATACAGTATACACTTGAAACAAAATATTAGACTATTCTACAACAAAAGGATCAAAATGGGAAGCACTTCATATAGAATTATTCACGGAATCAAAGGAATCACTGGACCTAAAATCCCTCACCTGTTTTGTGTCCCAATCTCCATCAACAACGATTGTCAGCAATTCGACTGCCTTAGTCTTCCCTTTAGCACTTCCATTCTTCGTCAAGTCGGTAATCCCTTCGATAACTTTAGCACCCATATCCATAACTTCTTTCCTCCCCTTCTCGCCGCCGCAGCGAGCCAAGTTCAGCAGAGCCACCACTGCGTTTTCCCTTATTCTTTCACTGGCTCCAGTCCCTTCATCCAGCAAATCACCCAAAACCCTAACTCCACCCACCCTCCTCATCGATTCTTCACTCTCTTCGCACCCCGCAATCTGCGCCAGCACCGCCGTGGCGTCCTCCACAATCCCCTTCCTCGCATCCCTGACTATCAACGCCACCAAAGCGGAAACCGCACCAAGACCCACCAAACTGTCCCGATTCAACGGGTAGAGCGCGATCCCAAACAAAGCCTTCAAAGCATCCTTAATCGACGGAGGCGGCGCGCTGTTCGCAGTGATTATCGACAACAGTGAGTAAAGAATATCACGTTTCGATCCAATTATCGGACGGTAAGACTCCTCCGCAATGAGAAGGCTGTAAAGCGTGGCGGCGCATGCCTGAACCGCGGAAGGAGAAGGTGAATTACTTAGCGCGTGAGATAACGCGTCGAGAAAGCCGCGAGTGGACATGAGAGAAGCACGCGAAGTAATGGAAAGATTCAACAAAGTGGCGGCGGCGTTTTCTTGAATGGTTGGAGAAGAGCCGTAAAGCGTTTCGGAGAGGTAGGGAACGGCTCCGGCATCGGCAATTAAGGATCGGCTTTCGGGATCATGTTTGGAAATTAGGCGTAACTCGCCCAAAGCTTCGGTCCGGGTCTGCTCGGAAACTGAGCTTAGTTTGACTACCAGATTCCGAGCGGTACGGCGTTTAACTTCCATTGATTTGGGTTTGGTGGTGGAAATGTTGGGTAGGAAATGGTAGAATCAAAGGGAATTTGGAGCACCAAAACAAAGAATTTATTTTGAATATGACTGATGCAAGGCAATTAGGCAAGTTGCTACCATTTTAAGATAATTATAAATTTAAATCATCTTCAACCTGAGCCAGTCCAAGTCGGTTTTTCCAATAGGATAAATTACACAAACCATCACTCAACTTTTTTCTTACCCTTATTTTCGTCATTAACATTTTAAAAATTTTAATTTAATTACTAAACTTTTGAATGACTCATGCTATAGCTACTCGTCCATTTATCTATCTATCTGATTGTTCTAACTTGTATTTTTATTAATTTTTTAGATTGGTCACTGCGTCGATCTTTGTTGATAACAATAGTTAAACCTAAAATTTTTTAGATTGGCATATTTTAATATCCAAATTCAGCATGTTTCGTTCGAATTCATAAATCTTAGATAAACCCTAAATAAAAAAATCAATCAATCCATAAACCTTTAATTAACAATCAAACCCTAAAACACACAACCCATGTTCAAATAAATCTCATTTTTGTCCTTAGTGCTCTAGTAGTCGGATGGAGAATCTTAACAGTGAAAAGATGGATATCGATGAGGAGAACAATGTATCTTGAAATCATGACAATTTGATAGTTTGGTGCTGAGATCGATGAGGGAGAAGGACAAAAGTTTAAGAGAAATTTTGAGGCTTTTATGGAGTTTCTATGAGAAGCTAAATTGAAATACTTGAAGAGGAAGAAAAGATGAGTCATACAACATTATTGCTGGTTAAAAGTAATGTCGATGATGACATTTCGACGGATTAAAATTGTTGAATGAAGTTTTTTGATTAAGCAAACATTGAATTTATGTTTAGAATGATGACACAAATTTGGTAGAAAATTTTGAGACTCGTTAGCCTCCATCGATGATGGTTGGTAGTGGTTAGAACGACGATGGGTACGATAGTTAAAATATGAGTTTGGTTTAGAGTGAGTGAGAACAATTGAGAGAGAAAAAATAAAAAAATAAAAAAAAGAAAAAGAGACAAAGTTTTATATAGAGATTCAAAACGATGTCATTTTGGTATAAATTGCCATGTTATAACATTGTTAATTTTCTAAAGGTAGCATGACCAAAAAAATAACAATTAAAAAATTGAGTGATTAAATTAAAAACTTTTAAACTTTGGTGATGAAAATATGAGTAGAAAGAAAATTGAATGATGAAATAAAGTAATTTACCCTTTTCAATAAAACTATTATATGATAAAATATGAAATTTCATCTGTAAATAAATTTTAACGTTAGAAATTATAAGCATATAATTTAGTTTGGATTTAATTATATATAAATTTTGTGCATGTTTGGTACCGTCCTGTATAAGGTTTCCCAGCGAACTTAGCTTCCCTAAACTCACTTCTCTTAAAAGACCATCCATAGTGAAGGGGTAATGTTTCCAAATGAAGGGAAAGCCATGATGTTACCTTGTTCTCCAAGCAAACTTGCCATCCGTCTTCCAAGGGCTTTCAAAACCTTCCACTACTTGAATGTTCGTCCACTGTTAAACTTCCAAAGCTCAAATCTTTGCCCAAAAAAGACATGATTGTTGGAGTTATAAGTTGCAGAAGGGACGGAGGGAATGACTGGGACAACATTCCTCACATTCCTTTTGTTCAGATTGATAATAGATTCATCTATGATTCTGAATTGGATTATAGTTAGGGGATATATGAATTTTCAGACCATATCTGCATGTATCGAGTTTCTGGTTTCATGTAATGTGTTCTAAAGCATGTTCAATACTGCGAATTATTAATACATCTTTAAATTTATATATATTAAAACTTTGAAAACAGTTGCATTACTCGAACAGAAGACGAATAATTGAATTGCCGAAGCACAAGTAGAGTCGGTATTTTAGCTGCAGAGCTCACGGGCAACACCCAATCTCGAATTGGGCACATCGAAAAGGATCCTATGGTTCTGTTGCTGCATATTGGCTATCACATTCAGCACCGAATTCACATTATCTGGTGCCGATGCCATCGCCAAACATGTGATGCTTCCCGCTGTGCTGTGGATTAACAGGTTATCTTCTGGGAGTGTCACGTTCATGCCGGCGAACATCAACGTTACCGTCGGTGCCACTATCGGTACATTGTAACATGTATCGAAACCGCCGAGAGACGTCACGTTGGCAACCTTAACACGTCTCCGGAACTCATCTCGGACAGCAACATAGGCCGGTGCGACTAGCCGGGTGAAGACGGTACCTAAAGTTCAATGGAAAAAGTTTAAATGCGACAACATTAAATGAAGCTTTTATAGTTACATTTCATGTAAAAGATTACCAGAATCAATAATGGTGCCGGCACCAGTGGTGGTATTGAAAGCAATGGCAGATGGTGGGATATCAACAACTCTGTTTCCAACTCTGATTCCAATCAGATTCACAAAGTAAAGCGATGGTCTCCTAGGGTTCTTCAGCAACGGGGTGGTTTTGATCTTCAAGGGCTGCCCAACTGGCCCAAGTCTCAATGACCCAGAAAAGTTCAAGGACCTAAAGTTAGGCAAACAGTAAGAGAATGTGGATTGGTACAAGTCTTGGGTCTGAGACAGAAGGGACAATGGACCTCGACCAAGCCCTAACAGACCCTGTGGTGGCACCGAGTTGCCGGTCGTCTGTTGCAGACAGCCAAAAGTGTAGCTCGGGACAGAGTCGGTGGCTAAGGCGATTGTGTCCTGTGAGAGGTTCGCTGCAATGGTGGAACCACCGTAGGTCATGTTGAATATGCAAGTGTTGCCAGTGGTATCGCAGCTGGGATTCGGCACCTGCTTGCATTGAGGAGCTTGGCAGCCGAGGGTGTGGAAAGTGGTGGACTTAACATTGTCGAAAACAGTGGAAGAGCAGCCGGTGCAGCCGGTACAAGGTATCCAAGCGGCATCGTTGTTGGTATCCATGGCCATGAGCAAGGTTTGAGGTGGGGTTCCGATGCTGGCTCTCACGATATAAGTCGGACTCTGCAATATCTGCCTGCCGGAAGCTATTGGCACCACGGATTTCTTGGCCACGAGGCTGGACAAATATCGGAGCCTGACCTGGTCCTTGGCTTGCGTCTGGAGCACATCTTCTTCCCATGACAGCGGCTTTGAGGGTCTGAAGGGTGAGCAGGGACTGTAAATGTGGAACACTTGGAGGTTTGAACCTCGGTCTTGACTCTCACATTTGGGGTTCAATCCATGGGCTACTAGCGTAAACAAGAAGAAAACCAGAGAAAATATATGGCTTTTCATGGTTTAGAAAATGGGTTTTTTTACATGTTTCCACACACTTATACCAAACATATACATATATATGTATAGCAGTGGGGGAGCTTTCTGAGTGGAGTGACATGCAGTTGAGTGGATTGTTTTGGCAAACAGACTGTATTCCATTTGCTATTGGAGGCGGGACCTCTTATGCTTGTCCAATTCTATGTATTTGTATTTCATTATTTGTGTACGCGTCTGATTATGATGTACAGCTAGCCAATTTAATTGCAGAATTAAGGGATCTGATTGCCACGCAGCAAAGAAAAAGAAAAGAAAAGGATTTTATGCCTACACCTTTAGGAAACACAATTTTTTGCTGTCTCATAATTTATACAAAATGTGAATTCATATTTTTTAAATCTTGAATACAATAAAAATGTTATGTTATTAATACAGGTTGATTATTAGTTGATTAATGATTTTTATTCAACATAATTTATTTTAACCAAAATATAAAATATTAGGGATTAAAATATTTTAAAAAGTAAAAAAAAAATCATGTATATAAACATAGAAAGTAATTTTATCATTATACCTATTTTTTTTATAAAATCACTATGACTATTTAAAAATGTCACTTAATTGAAGTATCACGTGAACCTACAATTGTGAATTTGGCAGTTTCGAATAAAACAAAATGCATGTAAATGTGGAAGCTTATGATTCATGAGTTTAATTTTAAATAATAATAATCACAATCTTAGCTAAACTCGAAACTCTTTTTGGGAGGCTTGAAGACGAAAAAATCATTCATAAACGGTCTAATTTCATTTTAATCCCCTACTATGCTAAATTTATAATTTAATCCGCACACTTTAACTTTTATATTTTAATTATTTATTTTTATAATGTTACTAGTACACTAATATTGATAATACTATTAATTGTTGTCATTAAAATAAAAACAACTTTAAACATCTAATTGACAATAAATTTGTTATTGAATGAAGATAATTGAATGCTTTTTCACATAATTTTGAAATTTAGATTAAATAAATAACTAAAAAAATAGGGTAAAGTACACAAATTGTCCCATGACTACAGGATATTACTTTATTAAATCATTCGACTATTAAAAGTTATAAAATGGTCCTCTGACTATAGAGTTTTGCTTTGTTGAGTCACTCGACTATTAAAAGTTACAAAATGGCCACTTGACTATTTATTATGTTTCAAACTCATCCTTTTCTGTAAAAAAATTGACGGTATTCTGAGTTGAACGTTAACTTGTTGACTGTGATATGATAAAATCTGATCCCAGAATCTTAAATGACTATCATATCTTAGTCATCATGTTAATATCCAGCTTAAACAATCGTCAATTTTTTAAATGGAAAATGACAAGTTTGAAACATAATGAATAGTCAGGTGACCATTTTGTAACTTTGAATAGTCGAGGGACTCAACAATGTAATACTCTATAATCAGAGGATCATTTTGATATTTTTAATAGTTAAAATACTTAATAAAGTACTATCCTGTAGTCGAGAAACCATTTGTGTACTTTATCCAAAAAAAAAAATATAATGTAAACCGTTTCATCACAATAAAAAGAATAAAATCAGAACTAGACAGCTAATAATTGCACCCATTTTATTAAGATTTGAGAACCATTTGGCATTATTATTAGGGTTTATGTTTAATCCATTGTTGATTCAACATTTTATTTATTTTTGATGATGAAAGGAGTCAATTATAATTTATATGGTACATTTCTCATAATATATAAAAAAATTATTTTAAAAATTAATTTTAAAAGACAAACTTATTTCGTCATTTTTTAAAAAAAAGATTCCATCAACAAATCTAGAGGCATGTCATATATCCTTTTAAGTTTTATTAAAATTGATATCTATTTATTTTTATATTGTATAAAAACAATTATTCACATATATAATATCTAAATATAAGAATTTTGTTAATAGTAATTTTAATAATTTATAAAAAATAAATTAAATTATGATTTTATTATAAATTGTATAGAATCTTAATCTATATATCACATTACATATACATTTAATAAAACTATATATATAATTTTAATTTTTATCAAATATTAATATAAAAAAATAAATGTTTGAGATGAATAAAGTAACAGCATTATATTTTGTCTAGCATTCAGATATTTTTTAATAGAATGGATAGAAATTGGATGGACGAAAAATAATGCTATAAAAATTCAACATAAAAATTCCATAGATGTTTTGACTATGGACACTTAAATAGGAATAGACACAGGTCAGGTTTAGGTCAAATTTTGATTAACTCAATCTGACTAGAAAATTATACATCCTTCACTCGATCCGAAAAATATACACCTTCCACCTGACTCGAATCCGATCTAACTTTTTGAGATAAAATTCTAATTCGACCAGACTCGACCCAAAATAATATATTTATTAAAAATATTATTTTTTATTTAATAAAATAGAAATTTAATTGAAAAAATAATAACATAGAGAGGGGTATTAATGTTATTATTTCTAAATATATAAGGTAGAATTATATTTTTTTCGGATTGTGTTGGATATTTTTCACTATAAACCTGAACCCGACTCGACCCAAAATATTTTTTTTTAAATCCGACCTAATAGAATCGTGTTGAATCAAAACCCATCAAATTCGAATCTCATGCTCATCCCTAATTCCATAGTTGAGACCACATTATCTTGTGAGTTTGGTAATAGAAAATTCAACTTACTGACAAGAAGAAAAAAAAAGCAAAAGGGTAACTGAGGCCCCGTACTTTTCAAAAAAAAAATAATATGGTCCTCCAAGTCAGAAAAAAATTCAATGTGGTATTTTGACCAACGTTTTTCGTCGTTGACCAACGATTCCGTTATTTTGTGTTGACATGGCACGTTAAGCAGGCCAACATCATATTTTTTTCTCTCAATCTGGCCCTCCAACTCAAAAAAATAACTCAATGACCCTCCCATGTTTTTCTCTTCTATTTTGATCACTAAACTTTAAAAGTTTTTGATTTAATCACTCAACTTTTGAATTACTCCTATTTTAATCATCATGATTTATTTTATTAATATTTATTTATGAGGTGGCATTTATTATTCTTATTTTATTAATATATTATTAAAATATTATTAATTAAATTAAAATTTTAAAATTAAAATTCCCAAAATTATAATTAAATTAAAAAATATTCCCTCTACTTTGTATATTTCCATATCTCCACTTTCCTCCTTTTCAACCAAAGATTTTTTTCATTACCCGGTCAAGTAGCTCATCCCTAGTTTTTTAATTTTTTTACAAGTTTAATATGGGTTCACTGAATCTGGTAATGAAAGGGAAAAAAGAAATCTTTAGTTGAAAAGAAAAAAATGTCACATCATACATAAATAGGGGTGATCATTCGATCGAGTCGAGTCAAGTCAAAAAATTTTGAGTTAATCGAGTTTGACAAGTTCTATTTTAAAAATCAGATTTGATTTGAATTTTTTTCTAGTCGAGACAATTTTTTGAGTTTCTATTTAAATTTAATTATAAATATTTGTAATATTATGAAATTATTTAATTTTAATTTAAATGATATTTTATAATCATATACAATATATATATACATTTTTTTCATATGTGATTTACATATACCATATAAAGTTGAGGGACTCAACTCAAACTTCGACTTAAACTTAATTGAAAATCAATCTACTAATTGCTAAAAATTTCGAGTTATTCGAGTTGTATTTTACAACTCAATTTGAATTTAAATTTTTTTGAGTCGAGTTAAGTTTATGAAATTACGATTCGAAGTGAAAAAATTGATATTTCGAGCCGAATCAAATTTTGCTCACCCCTATACATAAATACCACATCATACATTTATATTAATAAAATAAATCATGATGATTAAAACAAGAGTAATTCAAAAGTTGAGTGATTAAATTGAAAACTTTTAAAGTTTAGTGACCAAAATAGAAGAGAAAAAATAGGAGGGCCAGATTGAGTTATTTTATTGAGTTGGAGAGCTAGATTGAGAGAAAAAAATATGGTGTTGGCTTGCTTAATGTGCCACATCAGCACAAAATAACGGAGTATTGGTCAACGACGAAAAACGTTGGTCAAATGACCACATTAATTTTTTTTGACTTGCAGGTCAGATTGGGTGCAGAAAAAAAGTAGTGGGCCACATTGATTTTTTTTAAAGTACGAGAGCTTCAAGTACCCTTTTACCAAAAAAAAATGTTAAACTATGGGCCGGATCGAGTTTAGAGAAGGAAACGATGGTTCTTGTGCTTAATCAGGCTCATCATACTTTAATATTTTTGTGTCAAGATGTCAACAAGAATACTAAAGCCGATTCATTTTTTTAACAATGCAACTGGATTTCATTAATAAAAATAATGAAAGAAATCAAAATTACAACGCGTTTAATGAGAAAATTAGAGATAATATTCACCAAAAATCCATACATAAAACAAAAATATTAAATCCAAAGATACGAGAAAAATGAAACTTTTCATTGAGAATGATGTCCAACATCAAAAGAACCCAGTAACATTCATAAAACTCTTTGTCTCTGTCAAATGAGACGCTTTACAAAGTCATAAAGGAGTGATGAGCAAACTAAACAATTAGACATACTGCTTCACTACACATTTATGATTATATAGGCAAACAATCTTGTACCAAAAAGGGGATTTGGCAATATGTGACTACCGATAAACGGATCAGAAAATAAATGTCGTGAGGATCTTTGTGCAAACGCTGACACAATCGCAGAAGTATGCAAAAAAAAACTTATCAAAAGTCATAAGTAAACATACCACAAGAGTAGAGAAAAACGTGTCACAAAAGCAGATAATAGCATCTCACAATGACATAAATTCTTATTAAAAAAACTCAAGAAAAAATGAAAAACAAAGGACATAGTCTGAAAATAAAAAGAAAAATAATAATGACCGACCGTTCGATAATTAATATTAAGATTAATGTGTCGCCCACTAAAAAATAAAAAAAAAGGAAAACAACACAAAAATATTGAGAGA